GCGGTCCGCTTGGCCTCTCGCTGCCCCAGCGAGATCGGAGATCTGGGCTCCGTGCCACCCCGGTTCCACTTTCCCTGTCCCCGTCAGGCGGCCTCCTTTCACTTCCTGAGTCATTTAAAGTGGCAATGGCCCTTTCCTGCGGTCCCCGCGGGGGCTCCGCATCCCCGGAAGGAGGGGGAGGATGGAGGAGGCCTCCCTCACATCCCAGCTTGGGCCCCGCCTCCCCGGTTCCTCTCTTGGAGGTGTCAACGGATTTGCCAAGCCCACTAGGCAGGTGTGCGTGTGTATTTCAGTCTCTCTCCTTCCCACGTGTCGCTGACCTACCCTGTCCCCGCTGCTGCGTGCGAGGGACGGTGTCAGGACAGAGCATTGCCGCCTGGCATTTCCAGAGGACCCTGGGAAGGGTCGTGTTTGTTCAAGGCCTGGGGAATCTCAGAGGCAACCTGAGCAAACAGACATGGTCGATCCAAAGCAATGCTATACTTTGTCTATTTGCAAAGTGTATTTGCATTCCTGCCTCCTGGGGGGCTCAGAGCCTAGAGGGCGGCAACCTTTGTGCATTTTTCTGAGAGCCTGCCTGGGGTTTGGCTGAGATGTCAGGCGAGGTAGGTGGAGAGACAGCATTTATCAAATGAGAGTTCCAGGGGCAGATTGGGTTCCAAAGAGAGGAAGGGGACTGTTATTTATTAACCGATCCTACAGTGCCAAGAATTGGCTAGATCTGTTTGTGGCTCTTTACGAGCTGGTTTTGAAAGACCCACTGCCCAAGGGCCCCCAGATCCTGATACTACAACTTGTTGGTTTTGTGACCATGGAGAATTTAATTGATCTTTCTGTTTTCCGCTTTTAACAAAGTATGTATGTAAAGTGGAAATAATGGTAATACCTATTTCAAGGGGCTGTTTTGTGGATGAAATGTAAAGGTGCCTGCCTTGTAGAAGTATTCACTACATTTAAACTATTATTATTGGCACAAATTATATTTAATGGACATTATGACCCTTTGAAAGGATTTTAAACATATTTTTTAAAACATTGAGCATTTTTGGCTGGCTGCCTGAAGTGTAATCAACCCCCCATCTCTCCACCATATCTACGCCTCTCCAGTCATTGAAGAGCTTTTGTTTCATATTTGGGAGAGAAAAAGGACATTTTGATCTAATCCCAGAAGAGGCCAAGGTGTGGTTGAGAAAAATGGAGGGGGATGGAATGGTGTCTGTTTTCCATTGACACCCTTGCAAATATTGAGCTCCAATTTCCAGAAGAACATCACAAAAATGCAAGGGGAGGAGGTGAGGTAAAACGCATTTAAAATAATTTTAATGTCTCCACAAATAATGTATGCTTACTCTCTATGCAGCTTTTGTCAGAGATTTATTTTTTAGAAATATTTGTGTTTTTTACTTTAGAACAATTCTATAGAATGTTGGAAGGAAAGTCAGAAGGTTTGTTGTTGTTTTTTCCAATTGAATACACATTTCTATTTTTTTCCAGTTAATTTCTCTGGAAATTATTTCTGTGACTGCATTCAAAACAGGGATTGATGCATCATTCTGAAACAAAAAATGTTCAACAAATGTCAACTCAAACATCAACATTAGTATACTTAAGAGTAGTATTCCTTGCTTTGAAACACTGTTCTCTAGGTCTACTAATTTCCACCTCTCCAGGCTTAGAAGGAAATAGCTTTTACAAGCATGTTATCACATTTAGAAAATATTTTTTCACTGAAAATAATTTTTCAGTGTCTTAAAAGAACATATTTTGTGTGTGTCCAAGATCTTGGTGGGGAGAGAGGGGTGTCTTTTTGTTGTTGTTATTTGTTCTTAATTTTACCTGACAGTTCAGTTACTGACCCTTCACAATCCTTTCTTGAGCCCTCTGATTAGAGGGTCTTAGAGGCAGAGTTTGATGGAACAATTAAAAAGTTATGGTAATGAGGTATAGCAGACTCAATGAGACAGACCTTCTGTAACCCTCTGCACAGAAATCAGAACAATCAGATTCCCCAGGAATTGGAATCCTTGGGAGCATTCAGAGATAGAAACCTTGTTATATTAATCTGTATTGCATAGAGAATCACCTCAAAATATAGCAGCTTAAGACAATAAATATGTATTATGTCACACTTTCTATGAGCCAGGAATATAGTGGTGGCTTAGCTGGGTGGTCTAACTCAGGGTCTCTCAAAAGATTTCAGTGAAGATGTTGGCTGGAGCTATAGCCATTGAAGGCATGACCTGTAGGATTTGCTTCTAAAGTAGCTCACTCGCCTGGCTGTTGGCAGGAAGACTCACCACTTTCTATTGGGCTGCTTTAGACATGGCAGTTGAATTCTCCCAAAGGAACTGAGCCAAGAGAGTGCAAGGTGGAAGATGCAATGTCTCTTATTACCTAAGCTCAGCAGTCACACGTCATCACTTCCAACATAGTCTATTAGTTACAGAGATCAACTCTATTCATTGTGGAAGGGGACTACACAAGGGCATGATTACCAAGAGGTGAGGATCCTTGGGGCCATCTTTTTCCTTTAAGATTTTTTAAATTGATTTTTAGAGAGAGAGGAAAGGAAAGGGGGAGAGAGAGAGAGACGTTAATTGGTTTCCTCCTGAATAACCTCCCCTATCGCACCAGGAATTGAGCCTGCAACCCAGGCATGTGTCCTGACCAGGAATCAAACTAGTGACCGTTTGGTGCATGGGACAATGCCCAACCAACTGAGCCACACTGTCCAGGGCATCTTTGAGGTTGGCTACCATATTTTACCCTTTTGCCCCCAATGATTCACAACTCTCTCAAATGTAAAATACATCTACTTCCTCCAAAGATCCCCAAAGTCTCAAACCATAAGCTTAACGTCCAGAATCTTATCTAAATCAGGTCCAGGTGTGGATGAGACTCCTCGATATAGTCTTACATGCAGCTCCTCGAGTATAGTTCCTCCCCATCTGAATGTTTGTTTTCCTCCTCATTCCCAACATACAATGATGGGACAGGCTTAGGATAACTGGTACAGACACTCCTGTTTAAAAGGAGAAAAGACACAGAGGAGTTCACTGGTCCACAATCATCCTGGAATTCATTTGAATACATATTAGAAGCTCCTCAAATTAGGGCTCAATTCTACTTCTGCCCAGGAATGATTCTCCATGGCTTTTGACTTCACCCTTTAAGATCTTGATTCCACTCTCTGTGTCATCCTTGCTTTTCTAAGAAAAGTAGCCCATGTTGGCAGCTATGTAACTTGTCAGTCTGCTTTCTGCCAGTAGAATTTAGGTGCTTTCACGGCCCCTCTTAGTTTTGTACAGTCTCTGTTCCATTTAGTCCATGCTGGCAATGTTTCTGCCAATGTAATTTCTTTTAAAATGTTGTGAGTCTCCTATGAATCTAATTGGGACACCAATTCATTGGACAAAAATCATACCCACAGATCTTTTTGAGATAAGCCCTTGTCTACTCCGGAGCATCCCTCTACTGGAACTGCTGAAGCACAACACTAATAAACTTCTTTGAAGCCTTATAATTTGTCTGAATAATTCTCTGAATCACTACTATAGATCTTTTGGAGGTATGAACAAAGGGTTTATACAGCCACACTCTCAGCTTCATCACTTGATGATATTTTCCTTGCAGTGTCCTAGAGTTTATTTTTGACTGGAAGCCATTTCTTCATTTTAGCATTATTTGCCATCTAGAGAAGACGGGAATATTCAAATCTAGCAAGTTCTGGATCCTTTTCTTTAAAAGTTCTTCTTTAGATTATTTCTTTCTTCTCACATTTTGCAATAATCAGGAATTTCAACACTCTACCTGGCAATGTACTTAGCTAGAACATCCAATTAATTAGGCTCATTTTCTACGGTATATAGGTGACAGTGTTGCTAAACTTCCTGCCACTACAAAACAAGGACCCATTCCTCCAGTTTCCAATAACATTTTTCTAATTTCCTCTTCAGCCTTAATCTACGGTCTTCTCAAAAGCTGCCAGCATTCTTTTAACAGTTTCTTCAAGGCTCTTCAGGCTTTCACTAAAACTCTCCTCCAAGTCCTTCCAGCTTCTCCAACTGCCCAGTTCCAAAGCCACTCCAACATTTTGGGTTTTTGTTATGGAAGCACCTTGCTCTTTACAGTAAAATATGTATCTGTTGTCTATGAATGAATAATAAATTACCTTCAAAACTTTGAATCCTTTTGGGGGCAGACTACCACACTTGACATTGGCATTCTCTTCTCACTGTGGTGAGGCAACTCCAAGATGGTTAGACGCCAGTAGATGTGAAGGACAGAGCAGTTTGCATTTGAGACTGTTTTATGAGTGCATTTGGTACTTTGAGAAATAAAGGGTGTATTACTGGTGTCTTCTAATTATGTGGCTGATAGCTCTTGAGTTATTAGATATTTAAACTCTCTACACATGAGGAAACCTACTTTCAGAGAGGTGAAAAAAGCATGTTAGGTGTCAGCCAGCCAGAGGTGGCTGGATTGGGATTCAAACTCATGTCTATCTGACTCCATCTTTAATCATATTCACCTGTGGTATTA